AGAGGCGGTGTTTACATTCAGATACACATTTAGAGGACAAATGGATTTGCACAGTGCGAGAGGGGGACAAATGGCACAGGAGAGGAAGGCTCAGACTTCAGTATTTGTGGGGATTAGGCAGAGTATCCTAAGAAGAGAAATGAAAGGATGGGGGAAGGCTCAACAGCCTGCCTGTCTTTTTATTTGTAATGCTCTCTTTTTATTCCCTTCCTTTCTTTTATTCACACTTCCTTTCCCTTTGCATCCTCATCCTCCTTTTTACTCTTCCTTCCTTCCTTCAGCTGCCACAATTACTAGCCCTGCCCTGTCTCTCCTTTCACCACTTGCTCCATTCCATCAAACTCACCGGCAGTATGAGTAGGAGCACAGAGGCTTGTCCTTGGCCACCTGAGGAGCCCTCCCAGGCAGTGGCCAGGGGGACAGAGATGCCTTTGCCCCCACCTGCAGCAACAGCCCCCCAAAAGCAGCCCCACGCTGCCCTGACAGCCTTGGGGCTGCTGAGGGCTGATGGCAGGCTGACAGCAATATTTCAGGACAGAGCTGCAATTAGTCCCCTAGGTACAAAAGCACTCATCCAGTGTACTATTAATTATGCCTGCTCAGCTGGCCAGGACAAAACATTATTTTCTGTTAAACCAGTAGGGACAGGGCTGTGAACACAGGGACCCTCCAATTTTCAGGAACTCTTGGTTATTCTCTGTAAACGCAGCCTCAGCCACTCAGAGCAGCCAAGGAGGGCGAGGGGCAGAAGCATGAGATGGGAAAAGCACTGAAGAGAGCAGTTACATCTATGTTTTTTTACCTTGGGTTGGACAGCCGGAATTTGTCACCAGATAAATTACTTCTCAAGCCTCCAGATGCATTCAAAATAAAGAACAATGGACCACATGATAAGCCTTCTGCAGCTTTCCCCACAAAAGAGATGCCGGATGTTTTTTTCAGCCCCAACAATAGCTTTCATGCACTTTTGTGTCATGTATAATTAGGATTTTTGCTGCCAGAACACAGGCATTTCCTGCTGGACTATGCTGAAGCGAGCCTACGAGACCAAGGGGTCCCCAGTTGTTGGTCTCATTCTAAATTTCAGTGAAACAGTATGATCCCTGAAAAGCTGTGTATCTTTTAGCGTTATCATTGAAGAGACACATAATTACAGTCAAAGCACTTTGTGTGTGCCTAGGAAAACAAGTGAACAGCTAGCCTCTTCCCTTCAGTCCTAAAAGAAAGAGAGAAAAAGAAGACTTGTTTTTCTTTGCTTTTTAAAATAGAAGAAATTAAATTCAGAGACACAAAAAGCCAGGTCAAGGGTTTGTCACCAGTGATGGCTGCTATTCCTGTTACATGGTTGAATTTCAGCAAAAAGGCCACACAAAAAATAAGAGCACCTGTCTCCGCCTTCTGCAAATGCTGCCCCTGCAAGAGAACAGGAGGCAAGGGAAATGTTTGAAGATAGTCAATAAATAAAAATACGCAGCAGGCTTAGCACCCTAGGGGAGAAATTACTGTCCTGGGTATATTTCTCCCCTTGCAGCCATACAACTGCTGATAGAACAACGAGAAGGCTGATGCTGCAGGAAGAATAGCATGAGCCTTGGGAGGAGACATCCTCATTTGGTGGAAAAAGAAATAGTCCAGCAGCCAATAATCATATAAAAAAGGTTGCCAAATTCAAGCTTCCTGAATTCCTGCCTGCATTTTTCCAACAGTATCAAGGTGAAAGTCAGAAGGAGCTGATATGCTGACAGCACTTTGAAAAACAAGCCTGCTAGGAAAGTATCCCCAAAAGGACAGACAGTAAGCTTAATCATACTTTTAAGAAAGCGTTTCCCCCGTTACCCCTCACATGATTTCTTATAATTAAGGAACCATTAAGAGAGGGGCTTCAGGGATTACATCAAATGAGCAAAAGTCTCTTCTTTTTTTTTTTTTTCTTTGTATCCTTTTGCTGAAAGGAGACCTAGACACAGGAAACACTTTGAAAGAGTTGAAGCTATGGAAACACCTGCAGAGGTTAATTCTGAGAGCCACTTTGAACAACTCTCAAGTGATCCAATTACGAAGATGTCCCTAAAATAAAGAAAAATCAGGTATTTAAAGGCCTTAACAGACAATTTTCAATCTGTAGATTTCATAGGCTTTGTGCAGGGCTTTTAAGGATCTGCAAAGGTAAGTATGCTCACAGACAACAGGTTTGTTTTTCTTCCTGCACGCTGATGTCTACAACTCAGCTGGAAAAAGCCTATAAATTAACAGAGCTTGCAAACCTTTGCCATGGAATACACATACACCAGGTGAAGGCAACTACTGCACACTGGTAACAACAGCACCTGGGGTGCCTCCCACAGACCTAGTATCACTAGCCAAAGTCTGTGCTGCTCCTTCACCAGACAGAGTGAAACTGCAGCAAGCACTCAGCCCCAAGCTGCTGTCAAACCCCCTTGCTCTGGTTTTGATGCACCCTGGATTGCCCCAGACCCAAGGTTAGATCCGGGTTGAAATCTCGTATTGTCTTAAATGAAGATACCCTCTAACGGTGCAGAGAAGCCCAGAAAAAGCAGTATTTAGCATGGTATTTTTCGATCTCTCATTTTTTATTGTTGAGACTTCACTTACAGGAGAATGCCAGGGCGCAGCAGCTCTTTGTTGCTGTGGCAAAGGAGATGCGATTGGCAGCAGCGGCGGGGCAGGCAGGGAGCAGGGCCGGCAGCATTGCCTCCTGGTGGATCAGCGAGAGCGAGCAGCAACGCCTTTGCGTTTCAGAAAACCAACACTCACACCCCACCACCAACGCTGATTTAGCTCTGGTCGTTTATGCCACATCCCATGCACGAGGCATAGAAAGCACCTTGGCTTGTGTTTTCACTCTCCCGAGCTAAAAATCAGCTGCTGGCAAGTTTAAGGAATGGAGAGAAAAAACTGTCAGATCGATTTTAGAGGGGTTTTTTTCTAACCCTGCCTTCTGGCTGCAAGGGAAGTCCAAACAAGAATACACTCTGAAAGGCTTGAAATCCATGTCTACTCTTCCTCAAGCTGACAGTCTAACTGAATTCAGTAACAGCTTTGGTTTCCTACATGCAAAGCTGAAATTTCCCCCCCTCACTTAACCTTTGTGCAAGCTTTTCACCTGAGGCTCGACTCCTTATTAGCAGGTCTTTTAAGAGACCTTCTGCTCTAGGGTGAAGACCCCAACAGAATCTATTCTACAAAGAGCAAAGGAAACAGTGTGTGAATTATTTTGCTTTTATCATAAAAAAGCCTCTCCTTCTTGCTAATAGATCTCCAGCCCGTTAACTCCAGCTCCTGTGTGCAGGCCCACTGCACATAGGAGCTGAACCACAGCCTGCAGAATCAATACCATTGACTCCAATGAGTTCTGAATCACATTTAGCAGTCTTGGAGATACATCCCACTCCTCCAGCAAAGAAAAATATGGATGTCAGTAGATGCACTGACAGTAATGTATGCTAATGAAGGTAATGTCACCTAACAACATGTGAATTATTGATGTAGGCATGTTTAAACAGAAAAATCAGCAAGGAATTGCACCAGACCAATACAACTCCAGTGTTTGTTCACCAACAGGCAATTGGAACGAGGTGGTTGTGAGAACACTCATTACCACTTTATTAGCTTGAAAGGATTTTCATTAGGTTATCCATGTCTTACCTTATACATGAGTCATTTAAATTTCACTGTGTTATCTGAATGAGCCATCTGTACTAGCATCAAATGAGTTACTTTTACACATTAATAGTTTGCCTGAATTATTTTCCTTAATCTTATTTATCAGAGTCATAGATAAGGGCCAGTTTAGTCTCTCATTCACAACAATACATGGAATTGTAACTCCTGAAAGCAGTAGAGCTGTTCCTGATTGCCATGAGGCACATGGAGAATGAAACTAGCTCCTTTGTCTGGCACAGCTCTGGTTCCCAGGCTGTCAAGGCAGTTGATTCAGCTGTATCATAAAATAAACATAGCTTATTTTATGATTTTATTTTTGTATCTTGGCAGTTCTGTCACATCCATCATTGTGTTCTCCTAATGTATTTAAATAAAATTTATTTTGTACTACAGTGAAAGCAGGATATATGTACAATGATAATCGGTGTTAATTTCACTATTATTCCATTACCCTGTGAGATCTAATCATTCTGTCTGTACTTCTGGGTGAGTTGGCTCCATCTCTGTGGTATCTGGGAACTACATTGCAGACAGGTTTTGTTTTTGTAAGGACTGTTGGGGAATACAGATTTTTATGGTCTCATCACATCCTCACCAGCTTATATTGATACGCAGCATCACTGCATGGACAGAGACAAAAGCTTTCCTAGCAAAGTCTGCATCTAAAAATCCCCGACCACCAAACCACAGCCAAGCATTGATGCACATTTCTGACATTTCAGTGCTGCATTCAGTTCTGAGAGCCTTGAGGTGGGCAGAGGAGAAGCTGTCCCCCGGCTGGAGCCAATCGGGAAAACAGGGCCCTGGATTGCTCCATCACCACCCCGGGCATGGGGGAACTCATCTGCTCTCTTCAGAGACATCAGCATCCTCTGTGCCCAAGTAAGCTTTGCAAAGCCATGGAAAAGAAAACAAACCTTAACTGAGATAATTAAAATAGCTGCTTATTTCAGAAGAGTTATTGCATTAACTCTCAATAAAGGCAATCAATCTGACTGATAAAAACAACAACACATTGTAAACTGCTCCTCAATTTCTCCATCACTTGCAAGAGAAACACACTAAGCCTTCTTCAGCTGTATTTACCAAGGAATATTTGGGGGCTTTTTAAGGGAAGGATTCAAGGAACAACTGTGTGCTTATTTGACACGTTAAAACAGATAAAAGCGCAACAAAAGACAACCTCTTTTTATAAATTGAATAGTCACTGTGCCACAGTTCATATCATCAGAGACCAGTAAGCCCCCAAAGCAGTGAAGGGAAGAGGCAGGTCTGTGTGTGTAATCATGCAGGAACACCACTGGATTTTGTTTTACCTTTTCCGGAGCCGGGAACTGCAGGTGATTTACTTCCAAAGGTGTGATCAAAGGAACTGTCTGAAAACCATCTTCGTTAGATGGTGGTTTGTTGTTCTTGTCGTTCAAATTACTCCCCAGCTTCACCATTCTTGGACCTTGCTTTCCAGACCTAAAACCGGCAAGATAATCAATGTCACCAGGAGAGAGGGAAAGGGAGGATTGCTGCTGTACCCTGCTCAGCTTCACTTCGTATTATTGGCTACCTGGGCTTTGATACCTGAGTTTCTAGACACCCCCTCCCCCCAATACCACCCCACCACCTGAGTTCACACATGCATCTCACCATGCCCTATGCAGACACCCCACAAATACCCCTGCAAAAACCTCTGCGCTGAGCCCAAATAGAGCCCCTCCCTTCCAGACCCCAACAATCAGCACCTCCCCTAACATACAGAAACCCCCCAACAATCAGCACCCCCCAACAAACAGCACCCCCCCAACAATCAGCACC